CCCCAAAACCCCAAAACCCCAAAACCCCTATAAATTGTGTTTTGATTGGGAGCAATAATAATATGCGAATTATTTTTCTGTTCATGGTATTGCTCAGTTTTGCTCTGGGTGAATATCAGGTTAAAAACGGCAAGCAATGTTATGAGTGCTCAGGTGGAAACAACAAGGTTTGCAGAGACCCATTGGATCCAAACATTAAGCACTGTTGTGGAGAGTTTGAGTACTCCCTGAATTGTGGAAATTGGAATAATACCCAATGTTCTGACCAGATTGCTGAGGGAATATTTATTGCCAACAGCTTGCTCTTATGCGACACCTTCAATGCTTGTGAGCTTGATAAACTCTGGCCATTGTAAGTACTCCGTTGTTACTTTATTCCAATTAGTTATCTATACTAAATAAACATGAATCCACTAAACTCCTACCCTTGTGGCATGAGTTATTTGCTTTCAGATATTTTTTGTAGAGTTTTAATAACAAAATTTTATAGAAAAGGCTACTCTAAACATTATGCAGGCGAAAATTTCACTCTTTCAGAGCCCTGCATTATCACCCTCCATAATTCTGCTGATAAAGATGCCCAGATTAACTTTGAGGACCTGAGAAGCAAGGGGATTTATGGATATCTTTTCTCTCAAGAAAATTCAAAGCCAACAGAGTTCTATATAAGACATTTCATTGGATTCAGAGAAGATCAGGATTCTAATATCACTGTTAGAGGGGATCGTGCATTGTATCTTGTAATAGAACCCTCCTCAAAAGAAAACTATCTCAGCTTCCAATATACACTGATAGAATCTGGAGGACCATCTAAAGTTCTTATAATCTGCTTGAGTCTCGGAGCTGCATTACTTTGTGCTGGATTTATTGCTTTGGCTATGTGTTTCATTAAGAGAAGGAAGCAAAAGAATAGACACAGAAAACTTGATGATGAGCAACTCCAGCATCCAATAGATACAAGCGCTGAAGAGACATATCATTCCAACTATACTCCTGCTTCTCAATACACTGGAGCTCAATCTGAAAGAAAATTAGATAGTCATGAGACAAGTTATAGCCAAACCACTATTCAAAATTTGGATGGGAATCAGCCTCTATTACATGGTTCCTATGCTGCATACCCTTCAAAAGCTGCTCCTGTTCCTTCAGGTAGCCATCTTTGTGAAGGTTCAGCTGGCAGAGCCTAATCGATTCCAAATAGATACTTCAACAAGATAGCCTTAAAAGTTCTTTCTTGACAAGCTTCCAATAATTTCTCATTTTTCCATTGCTTTACAAGATCAAATCTATCCCAGCCAACTATATTCATCTCTTTTCAGAAGCAGCTTCATAAAAACTTAGATTTTCTTAGCCTCCAATTAATAACCTAAATTACAGCTCAGCTTATTCAACAACCCAGTAAAGATTAGGGGTTTTGGGGTTTTGGGGTTTTGGGGTTTTGGGG